CTTTACTTTTTTTGTATGATTTTTTTTTTTGTGTTTTACTTTTTTTTGTGTTACTTCTTTAAAAACAAAAAAGCAAATAGGCCTGACCAAAAACAAATAGACGTGAAACTAGAATAAGTAGTTTGCACTTGTATGTTGTCTATCTTATTAATTGCCATGTTTTCAACAACTTAGTCGAATTTTGGTTCTTACAAGTGATCTTCCAAATTGGTGTAGGAAGAGACCTGTTGTGAACTTCTTCACCCGGGCGATTCATACAGTGGAGCTTTAAATGTGGTTGCATATGGTAGTGCTCAACCGGCCGAACAAGGTACGGTCCATTTGCGACCGCTTCGGCCAAAGCACTATTCGGTCGGGATGAATTCTGTGGTTGCCGAGTTCGAGGACATCCTAATATTTGCCTCCGTAGAGGAGGATGAGTTCACTACACTTTGGGCAGCCAAAGGTAGTTTTGTGCAATGGCAATGTGCTTGGATACAGTTTATGAACCAGGTAATTTAGATTTAGAGTTCACGCTTTACTCTATACCCGATTTTAATCCAAAGAGTTGGAAGAAATTCTTTTTAAACATTTGTGTGCTTTGTCTTATTAGCCATCGAGGAAAAGCCAAACTTCAAAGAAGAGGGTGGAGGGGCAAAAGAGCATTGATCGACCGATGTCAAAGAAGAGGAGTGAACATGGGTCGGTGAGTGGAAAAGCGCCGAACAAGAGCTCTTCGCGAAGTTCAGCTATGCAAGCTACTCCACTAGTTGAAGACACGGTGCTTCAATCGCTCTCTAAGGAGTTAACTTATCTGCACAACCGTGTTTGCGTGTTGCCTAGTGATAGCCCCATTCAAGTTCCACTACCTAAAGAAATGTTCCACTATGATGATGATGCAATGGCATGGCTATTCAAAGAAGATGTGAAGGAATTTTTAAGTGGTGCAATGCTTAACATTTCCCTCATTCAAATATGCATCAGGTAATTTAACTAGTACTCAATTTATGTTATTCAGTTTAGTGGTGATTGTCGTTTGGTTTTCCATTAACATTCTATTATCATGCATGCAGAGCACTCCAGGAGCACTTATGGGAGCTTGATTCTCCGTGTCAAATTGGGTGGTTATGCCCTGAGCAGATCTCCACTGCTAGAATCTTAGGCAACCACACTGACGTGTTGTACTATGTTGAACGGGGTATCAGGGAATCAGTGCGTGCGGGAGACAAGTTTATATTCGCCCCATATTATGAGGAGTACGTCTTATTATGCTTGTCAAATTCATTTGTTTTCCCAGTTTATATGCTGTACTTGGCTAATTATTGATTTGTTTGTCTCGTGTGAATGTATGTACATAGTTATCATTGGACCCTACTGGTGATTTGTGTTCCCAGTAACACAATCTTCATTTTTTATTCTGCTTAGTTACCTCATCCAAGAAAGCGCCTCGTGAAGTCCATACTGCAAAAGTAAATATAGCTTTAATTCTTGTTATTGATTATCATAACCTAACTCATATATTAATCATACTAATCAAATTTGAACTTACTTTTCTATGTAGTGTTATGAAGAAGATAAATTCTCGAGCTCCTCGAGGTCCTACATGGAAATCACCGAAGGTAATGCCACATGATATTGTGATTTTCGTAATATACAATGCGTAAGATGTTGCTAATTTTCTATGCATGTTTGATTCATGTACTTTGTTCCTTATGCTAGTGCGCACAACAAGATAACGGAGTTGATTGTGGCCTATACGTGATGAGATTTATGTTTGACATAGTGAGTCATTGTACAGACACACAACAGCTTGAAGAGGTATGCCATAGACTATATGTTGTAATTTCAAGCCTTAGCCACCTATAAATAAGTGATAATGACATGTTATGACTAAGTTTGAGTTCACTTGACAAGAAATGTAGGAAATAGGCATCATAATAGTCAAATAGGCCTAACTTGGGTCATTTTGGTTGAAATTGCGTTCTAAAACCCCACAAGTGCTATTTTCCTGTAATTTCAAGCCTTATCCACCTATAAATAAGTGATAAAGACATGTTTTGAGTAAGTATGAGTTCACTAGACAAGAAATGTAGGAAATAGGCATCCTAATAGTCAAAATGGCCTTACTTAGGCCATTTTGGTTGAAAATGGGTCTAAAACCCTTAAATTGCTATTTTCTTGTAATTTCAAGCCTTAGCCACCTATAAATAAGTGATAATGACATGTTATGACTAAGTTTGAGTTCACTTGACAAGAAATGTAGGAAATAGGCATCATAGTAGTAAAATAGGCCTAACTTGGGCCATTTTGGTTGAAATTACGTTCTAAAACCCCACAAGTGCTATTTTCTTGTAATTTCAAGCCTTAGCCACCTATAAATAAGTGATAAAGACACGTTTTGAGTAAGTATGAGTTCACTGGACAAGAAATGTAGGAAATAGGCATCCTAATAGTCAAAATGGCTTTACTTAGGCCATTTTGGTTGAAAATGCGTTCTAAAACCCCTTAATTGCTCTTTTCTTGTAATTTCAAGCCTTAACCACCTATAAATAAGTGATAAAGACATGTTTTGAGTAAGTATAAGTTCACTAGACTAGAAATTTAGGAAATAAGTATCATAGTAGTCAAATAGGTCTTACTTGTAAATGTATTTTTACATGCATGCATATATAACCCCAATAATTCACTCCTACTAACTTACGTTTTGTGTATTCCAAGTTTAGCAAGGGACAAACGGGACATCCGTTCACGAGCGAGGAACTCAATGATATTCGAGACATGTTGGCGGCCTATATCACATTTAATTTGTAAATTTCATTTCTTTTTTAACTAGTGTACTACATTATTACTGATTAATATTGTTTGTAATTATGACACATTTTTCTAATTAGTATCATATTTTGGGATTGTTATCAATATTTATGTATTGTTATTATTTTCAATTATTATTATTAATAATATAATAACAATAATTATTATTATTAATATATTAATAATACTAATTATTATTACTATTATCATAATAATTATTATTATTAATATTAATATTATAATAATAATTATTATTATTATTAATTATTGGTATTATGTACATGATCTCATTATTATTATATTTATTAGTATTAATATTATTATATATTATTGCCGCAAAAAAAAAAAAAAAAAAAAAAAAAAAACCCAGTTAAAGGCACTGGTTCATGCTTAAAACCGATGCCAATTACATTTAAAATAATAAAAAAAAAATAATAAAAAAAATTGGCGCCATTAAAGTTGGCACCGGTTAACCGGTGCCAAAATGCTTTAGTTGGCACCGGTTTTGAACCGGCGCCAAAATTTTAGGGATTTGGCATCCCTCAAATCCCCAACGGTTCAAAATCGGTGCCTTAGGGGGGGTTCGAACTGATGCCTATTTATCTATTTCGCCTAGTGAATGTATAAATTGACACAACAATAATCATCATAATAACATCATAATCAATATAATCATAATCTCATCAAAACATGATTAATAGCAAAATCCTATGCATGATACTAAATGCATTCATAACAAATCCTAGCATGTCACTAATAATAAAGATCAAAGCATTATCCTAAACATGATACTATAAACCAACATGACATTAGAAATATTAATTAACACCCTAAACATGATACTAGGAATCAAAAGAAACATCCTAACATGATTTCTATATCAAAAGAATAATTAAGTAATCAAGTTACTTACTTTGATGCCTCGTGTAACACCCCCAAATCTCCCTCTACGGAAATACCAGTATAATACGTATAATTATACCATAGAGATAGATTTAGGTGTATTACCGCCGCGTGATTACGCAAGGCTACTCAAACTTCTCATTAAAACTACAACTTCGCAGCGGAAATTCAAACTCTTTCTTTATTAATACTTAATAAATAGTAACCAATGTTATGAGTACTCAAAATATAAACAAGGACCAACATTCCTAAACTAGGTGAAGAACATCCCGGGACTCCCATATGCTCAATTATTGACTCCACCTAAAAATAGTCAACACTGCTTACCATTAAGGTAAACAAGGTGAACCAAAACAAATAGGAAATACATATTAGCAAAATATGCTAAGTACGATAAGTGCAAGATAAGTAAACTCAATTTATTTGCAAACATGCTTTTTAAACCAATTCAAATAATTAATCCAATAATTCCAAACTCATTATTCCAAAACCAATTCCAATAATCAAGAATGAAATAAGTTAGGGAAATAAGATGATTAAATATTTAGGAGATGGGAAATAAGAATTAAGGAAAAATAATAGATTTAAAGGAGATAATTAAAAATACAAATTACCAAATAAATCACCCTAAAATCCAACCAAGGTGGCCAAAAATTTTGAGCTTCCATAGCTCAAATTTTCGGACCCCTTATGTAGAAGTTAGGAAATTATTTTGCTGGATTTAAGGGATTAAAATGATTGTGTAAATAATATATTTTGTATAAAATAATTAATTAGAAAAATACCAATTATTCACCAATTAACTAAGAAAAATCAGATTTTCTTCACTAAGAAAATCCGAAAATTCCTAGCTAATTAATTAGGAAATTTGGCCCTAATTAAATAAATAAGAAAATATAATTTGTTTAATTAAAATAGCCAAAATATATACATATATATATATATATTTTTTTAAATAAAATAAGTTGATAATAAATCTTATCCAAAAATAATAACAAAGTAATAAAATACTTTTGGCGCCAAAATTCAAATATCATTTTGGCTCCAAAATTTAAATAGTAAAATAATTTACTAAAATTCCCTTTATAGAAATAATAATTAATTAGAAAATACGCTTCAAAAATACGGGGTATTACAGTATACCCCCCTTAGAAGAAGTTTCGTCCTGAAACTTAGCCAAAAGAGATATGAAAATCATTTTTAATTATTGTTTCATGCACATCCTAACTCGACTAAGACTCCAACCTACTCTATTGCCCTCTACCCCCCTTAAAAGAAGTTACACCCCCGTAACTCGACCATTAACCTTAGGCAAATAACTCCTGGTAACGTTTCCTCATATCAGCCTCAACTTCCCATATAGCCTCCTTAGTTTTATGGTTCGACCATAACACTTTCACAATTCTCACATCCTTGTTCCTTGTACTTCTCACTTTAGAATCCAGAATCCATACTGGTCTTTCCTCATATGTCAAATTCTCATCCATCTCAATGGTTCCCGGTTGCAACACATGTGCCACATCAAGTATATACTTTCGAGTTTGACTCACATGGAACACATTGTGAACCCTTTCCAGCTCATTGGGCAAATCCAACTTATATGCCACTTTTCCCACTTTCTGAATGATCTCATATGGCCTTATGTACTTTGGGCTCAGCTTTCCCTTCTTCCCAAACCTCATCACTCCTTTCATGGGTGAAATTTTCAACAACGCTTTCTCTCCCACTACATATTCTTCCTGTCTTCTTTTCAAATCAGCATAGAGTTTCTGTCGATCTTAGGTTGCCTTTATCTTCTCTTGGATCAACTTAACTTGTTTCACCATATCCTCAATCATCTCATGCCCAAGTACCATTGTCTCACTTATATCATTCCAAAAAACTGGGCTTCTACACTTCTGACCATACAAATTTTCAAATGGTGCCATTCCAATGCTTGCATGATAGCTGTTGTTGTAAGAAAACTCTATCAAATCCAAGTGGTCTCCCCAAGACCCTTGATACTCCATCACATTGCTCTTAGAATATCCTCCAATGTCTGAATGGTTCTTTCAATCTGACCATCCGTCGCAGGGTGAAATGTTGTGCTCATTAGCAACTTCGTTCCCCATCGCCTTTTGCAAACTTTGCCAAAAGTTAGACAGGAATCTCTATCCGAAATGATATCTGTGGGTACCCCATGGTAATTCACCGCAAACTTCACATAAGCTCTTCCTAACTGATCCATAGTCCAAGTACTTCTCATGGGTATAAATGTTGCTGACTTTGTCAACCTGTCCATTATTACCCAAATAGTGTCATTCTCTGCCTTGGTCTTAGGCAATGCTCTAAAAAAATCCATGGAAATCGAATCCCACTTCCACTTGAGCACTTCCAAGGATTGGACCTTTCCTTGAGGCCTACGATGCTCAATCTTCACTTTCTGACATGTCAAACGCTTGGCCACAAATTCAGCTACTTCTCTCTTCATATTAGGCCACCAAAAAGTCTTCTTCATGTCCTTATACAACTTATCCCCTCCAGGATGCATTGATTAAGGATAATTATGGGCTTCCTCCATCAATCTCTGCTTCAAATCTCCACGACTCTGCGGTACGCACCATCTTCCCTTAAAACAAATACTTTCTTCATCACTAATGGTGAAATCCAACACCTAACCTTCATCGATCTTTTCCTTTATCGCCTTTAACTTCTCATCTTCTAGTTGACTTTCCATTATCTCATCATAAATGGATGGTTGAATCACCAATGCATTCAACATCCTAGTCACTTCTCCATGTTCCATCACTTCCAAATTCAACTTCTGAAATTACACACACAACTGGTCTGGCACTACCATTACATGCATTGAATGTTCAGACTTCCTGCTTAAAGCATCTACCACCACATTAGCTTTTCCCTCAAGGTATTGAATATCCAACGTATAATCACTTAGAAACTCCAACCATCTCCTCTGCCTTCCATTCAAATGCTTTTGGGTGAAAATGTACTTCAAACTCTTATGATCCGTGAAAATCCTACAAGTCACCGCAGACAAATAATGCCTCCAAATCTTCAAAGCAAACACTATTGCAGCTAAATCCAAATCATGGGTTAGGTAATTACCTTCGTGCAATTTCAACTACCTCGAAGCATACGCAATCACCCTTTGATTTTGCATTTAAACACATCCCAATCCAAACCTGATGCATCACTATACACATCATATAAATCACTTCCATCAGGCAAAGCCAGCACAAGTGTTGTGGTTAACATTTCTTTCAAGGTTTGAAATGCCTCCTCACACTCTTTAGTCCATGAAAACGTATGCTCCTTTTTCATCAAACTTGTCATGGGCTTTGCAATCCTTGAAAAATCCTTCATAAACCTTCTATAATAGCCTGCAAACCCAAGGAACTTTTCACATCCGACACATTCTTTGGGGTTGGCCAATCACTAACAGCTCGAATCTTACTTGGGTCCACTAAGGCTCCTTCCTTGGAAACCACATGGCCCAAAAATGCCACTTTTTCCAACCAAAACTCACACTTTGACGGCTTGGCATACAACTGGTGCTCTCTCAAACATGATAACACTTGTCTCAAATGCTCCTCTTCATCCTTTGAATAAATCAAGATATCATCAATAAACACCACTACAAACTTGTCCAAGTATGGCCTGAAAATCCTATGCATCAAATCCATGAACACTGTTGGTGCATTGGTCAAACCAAACGACATAATTGTGAACTCATAATGACCAAAATGGGTCCTGAAAGCACTCTTTGCAATATCTTGCTCCGCAATTCTCAACTGGTGATAACCTGATCTTAAGTCTATCTTTGAAAACACTTCAGCCCCTTTCAACTGGTTAAACAAATCATCGATCCTTGCTAATTGGATACTTATTCTTCACTGTCACCTTATTCAACTCTCGATAATCAATACACAGCCTCATACTTCCATCTTTTTTCTTTACAAACAACATTGGAGCTCCCCAAGGTGAGGAACTAGGTCGAATATAACCTTTCTCTAACAAATCATCCAACTGAGTCTTTAACTCTTTCTTCTCAGCTGAAGCCATCCCATATGGAGCTTTAGAAATAGGTCCAGTACCAGGCACTAGGTCAATAGTGAAGTCAACATCCCTCACTGGTGGCATACTAGGAATCTCATCTAGAAATACATCTGGAAACTCTTCTACAACAGGAATACTTCCTTCACCCTTCTTTTCCTCACTTCCGACTTCTTGAACAATACACATAAACAAAGGATAACCCTTCTTAACCAGCTTCTAAAGCTGCATTACAGAAATAATTCTCAAACCTGAACTTTTCCCTTCCTTTTTATACTCCACTCTAGACTTACTTGGGCTAGTCAAAGTAACCTTTTCAGCTGCACAATCAATCTTGGCTTCATACCTTCCCAACCAATCCATACTAAGAATTACATCAAGATCCTTCAAATCAAACTCGATCAAATCTGACGGAAATTCTACCTCATAAATGGAAATATGCACACTCATCAACAACTTTGAACGATTCCTCACTACCCCATACAAAATAGACACATCTAGAGAAGATGACTCAGGATTTTCTAACCCAAGAATTCCAACTACTCTCTTAGAAATAAAAGAATGGGATGCCCCCAAATCAAACAAAACTTTCACAGGCAAAGAACATATAAGGAAAACACCAATTACCACATCATTAGCGATTTCAACCTCACGGGTGTTCATCATGTACACACGACCCTTTGGATCACCTCCCGCAATGCTACTGGCTCCAGCCTTGGGTGTAGGTCCACTAGGATGAGATGGTTTGCTAGGAGCACTAGACTCTTTCACCTTCCTTGACTTAACATCAGCCTCTTTCTTGTAACACTCATACTCACGGTGTCCCAACTTCTGGCAGTATCGACAAGTTACCAGTTTCCCTTCACAGTCCTTCCCTAGGTGGTCTTTCTCACACCGCTTGCATATGTACTTCCTCTTGGGTCTCTCACCCCTTTGGTTTCCATTCCCTCTAACATTGGTCTGCTAGCCTCCATTCCCTTTCCCAAAGTTCCCTTTGTTGTCCCTCATATCTCCAGAATTCCCCCGATAGCTACCATTGAGCTTATGCCTCTTTTCACCCCCGTGAAAAGAGTCCTGGTTCTTCCTTTTCTCTCCAAAATTCTCCATCTCCCTCCCCTTGATTCTGTACAGGTGGGCTACACGACCATAGACTTCATCTAAGGTCTAAAAGGTAACTCCTCTTAGCTTCCCTTAGAGGGTTAAGGTTAGGCCTTGCTCAAATCTCTGAGCTTTGATGGTTTCGGTAGGGACTACTTCCGGGGCAAACCTCATCAACTCAATGAACTTGTTGTAGTATTCATTGATAGACATGTTCCCTATTCTCAGGTTGGTAAACTTCATGCACTTTTGCTTTCTCAAGTAGGAAGGGTAAAACTTCTCCCTCAAGGCTTCCTTAAACTCATCCCACCTAAAGTTAAGTCTTTTCAGCAACTCATCCTTTCTTTGGGCCCACCATAAGTCATCTTCCTTTCTCGAGTAGTAAACATCATTGTTCACCCTCAACTCACTTGGGCAATTGATAGCATCAAACAACTTGTCAAACTCCCTAATCCAATTTTTATGACTGGTCGAGTCTTCCTTTCCCTAGTAAATAGGTGGTTTGGCTACAACAACTCTCTTAAAAACTTCACTGTAAGAGTTAGAGTCAGAATTACGATTTCCTTGGTTCACCACTTTCGTGATGTTTTCAGTGATATGAATTAACTTTCTAAGGACCTTCCCTACTTTGGAACCAGTGCGCTTACTTCCCATTTGGTTTTTCATCCTCGTAAACATACTTCCTGGGTATAATTACCGTACTTTTGAAAATTAAAACAAGTTCTACTCATATAAGCATTTAATTCACTCCATAACATGGGAAAAATTCAATAAAATAACTTCATTTCGTTAATAATTAAATCGAAAGTACAACTTTGCCATCTAAGGCAATTATTGAAAGCAATAAACATAGCATAACTCAATCATTCAAACAACACTCTCAAAATAGTCATCCTCATTGGGATCATTGTCAGGATCATCTTGCTTAGCCTTTCCCTTATCAATTGGGTTAGTCATGAAAGTTGGGTTATATCCACTGTAACTTGGAGTATGGCCTGAACTTAAATTTGGGTTGTAATTTGGGCTTTTATGTGGACTAGTACAACCACAAGTTGGCTTTGGAGAAGCATTGGGCTTTTGTTGAACTTTTGGTGAAGATGGATGGTATTCAGGACTTGGTGGCTTTTGATTAACTTCTTGGGTACGAGTTTTGGGCCTTTTGCAACATGGAAATGGATTTTTGGGCTTGGTCGCCTTGAGGGTTCATAGCTTGGAGTATGTGAAAGAGAAGGGTAATTCTTGCTCCTCCCAAGAGGTGGTATAGACTCATCACTAGAAGACTCAAATGCATGACGGCGTTTTTGGTATAAAAAAGGTAGTTGAGCATTTAAGTAGTACATTTGTTCATCTTCTCTCAAGGTAGAATTCTTTGAGAGTTTGGGAAATCTCACCACTTTCCTCCTAGGCTCATAGTCACGTTCAACATATTGCAAGTCTCTTTTAAAGTTAGACATGGTTGCTAACCACTTCACTTCATGATGGTGTTTTTCATTCCACAACCCATTCTTCTTGATCACATCCCCATACTTGTCAAAGAGAGGTTCATATATGAGAACTCTAAGTAAATGGGCTAAGGCCAAAAGAATCATCTAAGGTGGTTGGGTCAACACTTCCAATCCATATCGTTCATAGAGGGTTAAGGCCAAAGTAACTATGCCAGTCACAAACTCACTAACACTAACTTCATCATCTTTCAAATAATGTAAGTTAATGTATTTCTTTCTCATTTCATCAATCATTTCCATCTATTTCACATGCAAAACAATCAATTTAATACCAATTCACATAAGCAATTCAATTAAAAAATCCATTTTTAATTCATAACTCAATCAACCAAGTATAACTCAAGATACCCAACCATGGGCAATAACTCAAAATTTCGGACCTAGCTATGACCATAGATTAAGGTGTTTTTAACACCAACTTTAATGCACACATAATCACACAACTCAAGCTTTCAAATAGTTTCAATTCTTTTTGTTTCAAAAATAATAATAATGTAGTTGAATCATGATATTAGATGGTCGAGCACGCGTCTCCCAGGTAAGTTACCTACAGCGTCGAGGAGAGCCTTGCCTACACAGAGAGACGTACTCGAGAATCTTTTTCTCAATCATCTTTCTACAAATAGGAAAATAGTTTTTATATATAAAATAAAGCTTTTGATTTTCACACACAGATGCGAAACTCTATCCTATATGCCCTCTTAAGTCTACCCACATTTTTTTCCCAATTTTAATCTTTTTAGGACCTTGAAAACTGATACCACTTTGTAACACCCCCAAATCTCCCGCTACGGAAAGACCAGTATAAACGTATAATTATACCGTAGAGATAGATTTAGGCGTATTACCGTCGCGTGATTACGCAAGGCTACCCAAACTTCTAATTAAAACTACAACTTCGTAGCGAAAATTCAAACTCTTTCTTTATTAATAATTAATAAAAATAATAACCAATGTTATGAGTACTCAAAATATAAACAAGGACCAATATTCCTAAACTAGGTGAAGAACATCCTGGGACTCCCATATGCTCAATTATTGACTCCACCTGAAAATAGTCAACACTGCTTACCATTAAGGTAAACAAGGTGAACCAAAACAAATAGGAAATACATATTAGCAAAATATGCTAAGTACGATAAGTGCAAGATAAGTAAACTCAATTTATTTGCAAACATGCTTTTTAAACCAATTCAAATAATTAATCCAATAATTCCAAACTCATTATTCAAAAACCAATTCCAATAATCCAATATTTCAAATACTTAATTATAAAAACAATTCCTCTTTTTAAATCCAATTCCTCATCCAAGTGTGCACACCCTCCAAGCTAGTCTCCTTATATTGCAAGGCTATTCTTGAGGAAAGACTCGGTCATACAAAGTCCAAAGTCTTATCAACCAAATCCGCATAGTGGGATTACTATCAATATGCTTGTAAAGCTTTAATAATAATAAATCAATAAATCCTTTTTAATTCAATAATTCCAATCTTTATAATAACAATTCACACTTCTTTTTATTTAATTCCACATGCTTTCAAAATCAAACCTTTTTAAACATGATAGATAATTTAATCATTTCAAAACATGATACAAAAATCAATCCTCAATTTATTTATCAAAATCAATTCTTTAAACATGCTTTTATTTCATAAATCATAATTCAATTCAAATTAATTCAATCACCATAAAAATTATACCAAACATGCTTATTCAATCCAATCAATTTCAAAGATATCTAGTTTAGCCACCTAAATGTACCTTTGATCCTTGCTAGCAACACAAAAAGGGACTTCAAGAACTTTGATCAAACACACCCTATAAATTAATGTAACCTTAATTAATATAAAACTAACAAATAATCACAACAATTAAAATAAAACCCCTAACTATATGTACATGAACCTTATAAATTACTTTTCATAAACTTGAATAAAATTTGATTTTATTTAATTAAAACTACTCAATTTTTATAAATCCCCCATAATAATAATAATAATAATTTTTATAAACCAAGGAAAAGAGGAAGAAGAAGTGGCAGCAAAGGAGGGCAGCAGCGCGCCGACAGGTGGCTGTTGCCGGTGGTCGGCGTCGGAGGTGGTGGCTGACAGTGGTGGGTGATGGTGGAGGGTGGTGACCGATGGTGGTTGGCGCAAGAAAAGGTGAGAAAAAGAGAAGAGAATTAGAGAGTTTTGGTGTGAGTGTTTAGCCATGGATCAAGGGTTATTTATAGGCTAGCTCATGCAAGAATTATGGTCGGATAATGTAGGAAGACTTATGATTAAAAAAGAATTAAGGAAATTACTTGGAGAAGATAGCTAAAGAATTATGGAAAGTTTAATGTTAAGGTGACTAAGAAATAATTAATTTATTGAAAGTATGTTGTCATGAAAAATAATATGGCAAATAGCTTTGCTTGGGGAATAATCAAGGATGAAATAAGGTAGGGAAATAAGATGATCAAATATTTAGGAGATGGGAAATAAGAATTAAGGAAAAATAATAGATTTAAAGGAGATAATTAAAAATACAAATTACCAAAATAAATCACCCCAAAATCCAACCAAGGTGGCCGAAAATTTTGAGCTTCCATAGCTCAAATTTTCGAACCCCTTATGTAGAATTTAGGAAATTATTTTGCTAGATTTAAGGGATAAAAATGATTGTGTAATAATATATTTTGTATAAAATAATTAATTAGGAAAATACCAATTATTCACCAATTAACTAAGAAAAATTAGATTTTCTTCACTAAGAAAATCCAAAAATTCCTAACTAATTAATTTCGGCTCTAATTAAATAAATAAGAAAATATAATTTGTTTAATTAAAAATTATATATATATATATATATATATAATCCGATTTTTAAATAAAATAAGTGGATAATAAATCTTATCCAAAATCCAAAAATAATAATTAAGTTTTTAAATACTTTTGGCGATAAAATTCAAATATCATTTTGGCTCCAAAATTCAAATAGTAAAATAAATTACTAAAATACCCTTTTTAGAAAATGATAATTGATTAATTAATCAATTAATCAATTAGAAAATGCGTTTCAAAAATACAGGGTATTACACCTCGTATTTCTTTCTATCAAAACAATACACGTTAGTAAATTTCAAGAAAGATTAAGTCAAATAAACCAAATAAATCAAATAAGAATTGAAATATAGATTTGGGACCAAACCCTCAGAACTATCAACCTTTCACGTCGAGGTCGAAGGCAACTTTGACATTGGCTAGGAGTATTCGAAGCTCGTGAATGAGGTATGGTGTTTGTTTAGGGAAAAGTATCAAGGATGTATTAGGACGTGTTTAGGCTAAGGCTAGAAATCAAGAAAGAAGAGTGAGAGAAAAGCTTTAGCTTAGAGGGAGGATTTGATGATGATTGTTGGTGATTAAGCATGTTGATGATTGAAAATGGGGTGAAACGACCTCTATTTATAATGAAAAAAGAGGGTCGAAGGATCAGAAAAGAGTCAGAATCCGACTCGGAGTAAAACAGATTCCATCGCGGCGCGACAGCCTTGTCGCGGCATGATGGTGCTGTCGCTCAGCGATGGTTTTTTTGAAAGATTGAATCCGTACGGAATTCTATTCCCAATCATATTGGGTTAACCGAATATTTGTACGTATTCTATTTTGACCGGGGTTAGGATCATTGAAAAACAGATGTTTTATCCGATGTAAAATTCTTAAATCTTTATCTTTTCAAAAACAGGATAAATTAGAACCTTCCAGAGAATTCTAGAAGCTAATAATAAATCCTAAGGATTTTAGGATCGAAAATAACCTTCTAAAGGATTCTAGAAGCTTGTAATAAATCCTAATTGGTTTAGGAATGAGGTTAAGGTTAATGGACCCTCCACATGGCCATTAGGTGTCAGGTAAGGCTTGGTTCGGACTCGGTTTAGTATTTTGGCAATAACTTCTTCATTATTAGTTGGATTTGGGCTTGTAATATGTCGTTGAAAAGCTCTTTTCAAACTCCACCCAACTACACAATAATTGGACCATGATTATGGACCAAAAATAAACTGGTTTGGACATTTTTATAAAGAGGACACGAAATGAATGATTTTCAAAGACACGAAATGAATGATTTTGATTTAAAGATACGAAATAAATGATTTTGGCTAAAAACATTTTAGGAAAGGTTATAAATGGTCAAGGCTAAAGGGAAATTCACAAGACTCTTCAACTCTTCACCTAACTCAATAATCAAAGACGTGAAAGGTACTCATCACTAGGTTTGGTTTTTGGGGAGACACAATCAGGTGTCTACAGTACTACCTAGTTGAGTAAGTGGGAGGTTGGTCTTATACCACACACACACGCCCGCGCGCTGAGTCGGGTCGGGCTCGAGTCTCGGGCCTTGGGGAATGCGATGGATGGGCTGTGTGCCATCTATCTTTTCGGAGAAATTTTATTTCCTTTTAAGCTGACCTTGTTTTGGAATATTGTAATCAATTACAATATTTATTCCATTTGACTGTGGAGGTTAATGGGCTGACTGTTACTGTCGTTTCCTTGATTTTTGGCTAAATGTTTGCTTCAATTTTAGCCTTAATTTTTTGGTCGTTTTTTCCCCCTTTTATCCTGGTCGTTGCCTTCTGTTTTCTCCTGTATATACCAACCTTTGCATCTTCAGAAAATACACAACAACTCACGTGCTCTCTCTCTTCTCTAAACTTTAAACACTAGGATTTTTCATTCTGTTTTTGGGCAAGTACTCTGAGTTTCAATTGGGTTTTTTTTAGTGCACATAAACTCCAATGCCGTGCTTATCTTGGAGGGCGACAACTTCACGTCTACTGCACCAAGAAGTAGCGCAAAATTGTCTTTTAGTTCAGTGGTTCACCACAACGCTGCTATTGTCCGTTTGGTTCATGCAACATGGAGATCTCAATACTTAGGTTAAATCTAAAACTACTACATCGTAGTCCGTGCTGAAAAAACATTGTTATGTGCAGACTGCAGAGTACTAGGCCAAACAATTACCCGCCAAGCTCAGTTCACCAAAAGCTGTTCATCTTCTTCAATTTCTCTCCTTTTTCTTTCTCAACCGCCGACGACGTCGCCGACCTACAAATCACTAGCGATCCTTCAACACCCTCTTCGCCGACAACTCCTTTGACAAACTTCAAAGCTTTGCTTAACCTTCAATACCCTGTTCTCGATCTTGCAATTGTTTTCGATCCAAGGCTTTGTTCTACACTCTTTTTATAATAGTGTGTTAAGTTTCTTGCAAAATTTTAGCCTTTGTTTTTATTTATCATTTTATGGGTTATTGTTGTTAGTTTTGTTGATTTTATGAATATATTTTGAGATTTTTTCTTTTGGGTGATTTTGGTGTGGGTTTTGGTCAGAAATTCATGAGTCCTTTTGTTGTAAAAATGGAGGAATCAAGCCCTGCTGATTTGAATAGTGATAACAATGGTGAGATTGAAGCTCGATTCACCGACCTTTGCAAGGTATTTGTGTTTATTCTTGTTTAATTCTATTGAATCTTGAGAAATTTCATATAATTTGTTAAATGCTGAATCTTTAAGGTTATGAGAACCCTTTATACTTTTTCAATTTTTTCCGTTCAAATTGCCTAGTTTGTTACAGGATTTGGGGTTTAACTCTGTAATTTAAACTTATTCGCAGAACCAATTTTCGTTGGATGAAATGATGTTTTCGGATGCATTGAAATTGTTTACTGATAGCAAAAATATTTTGTTGAATAATGTGTCGCCTATCGGAAGCACAACGGTACTTTTTCATCTTGAGTAGGCTTTATAATCTATGTTACTTGGACTCGGGTACTTGTGTTGGACATGGGTCCATATCCAAGTGTCCGTCTTATATCTTGATTTGACCCAAAATGGAGTATGGAAGTGTCCAGCTCCATGTCAGATTGTCTAGGATTGTACTCGGTACTAAGGTGAAATGAAGAGTCCAAGTAATGTAGTTTATCATGATAGTTGTTTGTTATTCATGTTTACTTTCAATTTCTTATATTTCTGCGCATCTCTGATTTCAGCCAGAGGAATTAGAGAGATATTTTTTTGCCTTTGTTCTCTACACCAGAAAGAGATTGGGTGAGGAAACTACAAGTGATAAGAATGAAGGTGGCAATCAGAGTGGAGTTACTTTGTGTCAGATACTAAAAGCCGTGAAGTTGAAGTACTTCGTCTCCCTGTGATTTTGATTATAACATTTTTATAAGTGGACCGATTTTGCTGTTAAGGATGTGATTGTTACTATTTTCTTTTACCAGTCTTGTAGATTTCTTCAAAGAGCTTCCTCAATTTGTTGTTAAGATTGGCCCAATCTTAAGTAGCATGTATGGTGAAGATTGGGAGAAGAGACTCGAGGTATGTGGAACATCTGCCTACAGATGCTTTTTCTTTGTTTAATGTATTGTAGTATCCACTCATTCTTTGATCAGGTGAAAGAGTTGCAGGCCAATTTTGTGCATTTGAGCCTTTTAAGCAAGTAGGTCTTCTCTTTCTGTACTGTTTTTCTTTTCTGAGTATATGTCTTTGTTTTGTGGACTAAAATTTACTAAAACTGGGCTTTTGCAAATCATGCCAGATTTACTGCGTAGCTTATAACTATAATGTAAACTTTATGACGGATATTTGTCTTTTTTATGTGGTTTTCATGTAAACCTGTAATGTAAACTTTTTAATTGGTAAAGTCTCCCTTATACCATCTATGGCGGACATAAAAAGTTGAGCTGCGATGTTGTTGAAGAACTTCATTTGAATTATGACGAGATTAACATATTAGGGTAAACTGTTATTTTACTTATCTGATTTGCTTTTACCATGAGCAGAGACTTGCTTTTATTTAACCTCAGAGTTCTGTCTTGGAGTCACACTTTGCTAGCCATAGTATTTTTCTTGCTATATTCTGAAGACTGACTAAATTTGTTATCGTTTCTCTTATGGTCTATAGTTGTAGTCGACAACTAGCTTTCTTGATTCATTGGATATACTCATATTATATATTCATTGTTTCTCATTGTTAAAATTTATTCTTAGGCCATTTTCCATTTAGAGTGTGTGCAGCTTATTTATTCTTGGCCTTTCTTAAACTTATCTATTCTCTTTTTTTTTTTTTTTTTTTTTTTTTTTTTTTTTATCGATGTTTTTTTTTTAAAAATTTGTTTAGGCAATGATTACTTTTGAAACTGGCTGTGTTTGAATAGAGAGTTAAATTGTTTGCAGATTATTAGTTGTCTACCACGTCTAAATTCTCTCAAAACTGATGATGCATCGGTGTAACTCTAATAATGTAAGCTGTATGAGGGGGAAACTAAGAAGATAACCCCTGACTGTATTTTAAGACAGATTGAACACTTGGGAATAGTAAAAGCTTTCTTCATTATTGGGTACTGTACAAACCATGCTAAATGCAACTGTGGGAACTAGGAAGAGGGAAAAGCCCATACTTCGTGTACAGTACTGTGGTTGCTGATATCATGTTTGGCATAGCAGAGCATACATGCACTATGTAGCATTTCTAATCTTCTCAAATTGTGAATGAGCATACATGCACTATCATTATGATGAGGTCAAATTCCAGTTTGGATTTTGTGTCGGGGACATTTATCATTTACGCAATGAACCCTTTGGAATCAATTGTTCCTAATATTAAGCTACCTTATAATCTCTTATATTAGAATTTTCAACATTTTCTCACCCTATTTTGCAGAATTTGTTTGAACAAATTTAGTGTGAGATATTGATTGGGACTAATTGCTGTGTCATGTCTTTTTAAGGTACTACAAGCGAGCATACCAAGAATTTTTCAAGACGAATGAAGCAGATAAGGAAGTTGCTGATGCAAGCACCTCCTCCTCTGATAGCATTTCAGACTATTATAGGTTTGGATGGCTACTGTTTCTGGCTCTTCGTGTCCATGCATTCAGCAGATTTAAGGACCTAGTAACCTGCACTAATGGATTAGTCTCTGTATTGGTAAGTTAAGACTTATCACTTCTTGTAGTATTGACTTGTGGAATTGTGGATGTTTCCTCTCTAAAGGATTTATTAAATGCAAGAAACATGAAGACTTGAACGAGTTTACAAAGTGGTCTGAATTTGTATAGTGATTATTTTCATAATCAGGATTTTAGATTTATGTAAATTTCTTGAACCATTGAATATACTTCAAATTCACTGCTAGCTGCCATTTTAAAAAGCTAAATTTGATGCAGGCTATCTTGATCATTCACATCCCTGCTCAATTGAGGAAGTTCAATGTTCTTGACTCGCCATTATTTGGTACAGTGCTCATAATAGATTAATGTTCTCTTTCTTTGGCTGTATTAACCTCTTTCCTTGGTGTTTAGAGAGGAGGGGTAACTCTACTATCTGCGGATAGAAATTGATGGGAATAAGTTTCTGTTTCAGAAAAGAAAAGTGATCGAGGTGTGAACCTGATAGTGTCACTTTGCCAAAAATATGACACTTCTGAAGATGAGGTGAAGCAAATGATGGAGAAAGCTAATGAATTGATTTTAGAGATTTTGAAGAAAAAACCATGTACAGCATCAGAATGCAAAAGTGACAATCTAGTCAACATTGACCCAGGTCAGTAAGATTTATGCTCTTGTATTTGACTGTTTAACAGTAATTTGACCCAGGCTAGCTCAATTACTATCTTTAGTGATTGCAGATAATTTGACTTACTTTGAAGACTTGTTGGAAGACTCGTCACTTCCCAATTGTATTAGCCTGTTAGAGAAGGATTATGATGCTGCAATCTGGAACAAGGGTGATATAGATGAAAGAGTCTTTGTTAATATAGATGACAGCCTACTTGGATCAGGGAGTCTTTCTGGAGGTGCCATTAACATAAGTGGTACTAAGGTAATTTTTATTTAATGTGCAAATTTATTATACAACCCTTTGTGAATATCACGCTATATTATATGATTTATATCATTTATCCCCATGCACTTTTGAGTCTCCTACCACTTGGAGAATGGTTATAAATCCCTCAATTAAGTTTTACAATGTTATAGATTTTTTTTTTTTTTATTTTTTTATTTTTTTTTTTTTTATTTTATCTAGTATATTTATTTTATACCTGTACCATGAATTGGAAAGGCTTAAAGTGGTGTGTGATTTCATTATATAGTAAAGACTAGGGGTAATATATAAATAAAGTTTTAATGCATTCTAATAATCCTTTCTTTCTTTCCTTTTTTATTTTATTTTATTTTATTTTATTTTATTTAACTCGTAAATTCAGAGAAATTTAGATGTAATGACCTCTCCAACAAAAACAATTGGAAGTCCACTTTCACCTTGCCGATCACCTTCACTTCATGTAAATGGGGCTCGTGGTGGTGTCAACATAAGAATGATATCTACACCAGTGAGCACTGCAATGACAACTGCCAAGTGGCTTCGTACTTACATTTCTCCACTTCCATCCAAGCCATCTCCTGAGCTGGAGAAGTACTTTATGTCATGTGATAGGAATATAAGTAATGAGGTTGTACGTAGAGCTCATATTATTATGGAAGCCATTTTTCCTAATAGTGCTCTTGGGGAGAGAGGTGTTTCTGGGAGTCTACCAAATTCTAACTTGACGGACAACATATGGGCACAACAAAGACGGCTGGAAGGTTTAAAACTGTACTACAGGGTTTTAGAAACAATGTGCACAGCAGAGGCTCAGTTGTTGCATGCAAATAATTTGACCTCTTTGCTAACCAATGAAAGGTTTCACAGATGCATGCTTGCGTGTTCTGCAGAACTGGTTTTGGCCACTCATAAGACAGTGACAATGTTGTTTCCAGCAGTATTAGAGAAAACTGGCATTACAGCTTTTGATCTTAGTAAGGTGATTGAAAGTTTTATCAGACATGAGGATTCTCTTCCAAGAGAGCTTAGAAGGCATTTAAATTCCTTGGAAGAGAGACTTTTGGAGAGCATGGTTTGGGAAAAGGGTTCCTCAATGTACAATTCTTTGATTATTGCGAGACCAGCTCTGTCTGCTGAAATAAATCATTTCGGATTGCTGGCTGAGCCAATGCCCTCCCTAGATGCAGTTGCTGTACATATTAACATATCCACTGGAGGCTTACCTCCTCTGCCATCATTTAAAAATGAGACTGCAGCAGGTAAATCAGTCATCTTATTTTTCTTCCCCCACAAAATAAAATTCTATTCGGTTTTTAACATCTTCAAATAATTAATCAAACACATAATGTGAATTCAGACTGTTTGAGCTGTTTACATATGGGGTTTTGTGACTTGGGTGTTGATTATGTAGTTTTCACGACCGAATCAGTTTGGTGCAAGCTTATCACAGTTTGCGCAACTGTTAGGTTATGTAACAATGGAGAAGAGAGGGTTCTAGGAAATTTAGCTTGAGGATTATGCAGGTTTCGGGAATCTTATGTTTCCTGCTTCCCTGTATATATTTTGTCAAAATAAGCATATTCTGACTCTCTGCTCTCCTAGTCTCCTGCCCTATAGATTGCATTGTTTAGACAAGGGATTGAGATAGTATCGTGTCATAAGTAGAGATCTACGGTCAAACTCTCTCCTGTTGGCTGTTGCTACTTGTTTTAGATTTGTGACAAGTATGTTATTGCAGTGTAAATTACAAATTTTCTGACTATATATTATCTCCGTGCTGTCATTTGTAGCAACAAATGGAGATATTAGGTCTCCAAAAAGAGCTTGCACAGAGTATCGTAGCATTCTTGTAGAGCGCAGCTCTTTTACATCACCTGTTAAGGATCGTTTAATAAACAACCTCAAGCAGAAGTTAACTCCTCCAGCTTTGCAGTCCGCTTTTGCAAGGTACTGTAAAGTGTAAACTATTAAGTTAGTTGGAAGGACCTGTAAATTCATATTTATTTATGTTTTTTTTAGTGTTTTGAAAAAGGCATCTTTCGTTACTTTGATTTGGAAGATTTATTTGTACTTTGGGTTCTGGTGTTTTTTCAGTCCAACAAGGCTGAGTCCTGGTGGTGGAGGAGAAACTTGTGCAGAGACTGGGATCAATATATTCTTCAGTAAGGTATGAGATGCTAGTGCATTTTAACAGCAAACTGAGTGTTCTTGGTCATTTGCACTCTGTTTGTTGAGTATCTTGACTTAGTTTTACTGATCTTTAGTGTATTTGGGATCAATATGTTCCTCAGTAAGGTTTGACTATATGAAAGACTAATGCTTTTAGCAGCAAATTGAATGCCCCTGATCTTTGGTGAGCTCTGGTTGTGGAGTTTTTTGACCCATCTATATTGATTTTAACTGTTCTCTTTAAAACTAGACAGCCTTTTCTCCAAGCCTTGACTATGCCTGTGCCTATGGGTGATTACAACCGGGGTACCCGATCAAAGTTTTAGGAAGTGGAACAGAACCGAAAGTCAAAAAACCGGTTCCTAAAACTTTGGAACCACCAGGTACCCTGGTTATAGATATGATTGTTAGATGAAAAAAAAAAAAAAAAACAAAAAAACACAGATTTTAATATTTCTTTTTTTCATTTGGCTTTTAAAAATCCAATTTTAATTTGGGTAACCAAGTGCCAACCAGTTCCTAATTTTTTGAAATAGAAATATTAGTATTTTTTTTACCAAATCAACTTGTTTCGTCTGATACCAGTTCTTGTTACAATAGGGTATTGGCCATAGGAGTTACACTTTTCTAATTGGTCTTTGTTGTTGTCCCTGCTCTTCCTCATCCAACTTAGCTGCCTGATATGGCGCCTCTTACTAAATGCCACTCGGTTATCTTGTATTCGAATTTCACATATTTACTCTGTGGCCTTTTCCTCAGTCCCTCTCCCTTCCCTAAAAAAATACTTCCACTGTTTTAATTTTCTTTTACAATATTCATATACTCCATTTTAACTTATACACTTTTTATGTATTCCACTTTGACTTTTACACTATTCATATACTCCTACACTTCCCCCAAAAACACTAGCATTGATGACTTTTAACTAAGGAAAGATATAGTCATGTGGGATCTTGTTAGATCAGTCTTGATTTACACTTTAATAATATCAAATTTTATAATTTTTTACATACCGGTAATTAATAGTATTGGTGATTGAAATATTGCATTGGCAAGCGTGAAATGGAAAGTGTTGCAAGTAATAAAAGCAAAAGTATTACTGTATATAAAATTGTTGCTTGGTTTGGATAGTTGGACCTTCTGCTGGAATTATAACTTAGATATTTTGCATTTTTGTATCAGATTGTGAAGTTGGCCGCTGTCAGAATAAATGGTATAATTGAAAGGCTAGAAAAGCCTGACAAGCAATCTGAGACTCAACAATTGAGGGAGAGTGTATACTGTCTGTTCCAGAAAATTCTTAATCAGCGGACCTCACTATATTTCAATCGCCACATTGACCAAATAATCCTGTGTTCTGTCTATGGAGTTGCAAAGGTCTGTATATATCAACTTAACTAAAACAAAATCTCAACAATATAATGGGGCTTAACTTGGCTCTCACATTATGCTTCTTGAACATTTTGAATAACTTTGCTTGTTTTCAGATTTCTCAATATGAGCTTACATTCAAGGAGATTATTTTAAACTACCGCAAGCAGCCTCAATGTAAACCCCATGTTTTTCGCAATGTATTTGTTGACTGGTCTTCTTCACGCAGAAATGTAAGTTCAGTGAAAGCTGCTTAAGTAGTACTGTAGCTAACAAGTGTTTTTAACCTTATTGGTAAGGTGGCTAAAATCTGAGCTTTCGTTTGATCTTCTAACAGAGACAAGGGCAGGATTATGTTGACATCATAACATTTTACAACGAGGTGTTTATTCCTTCTGTGAAGCCTCTTCTCGTTGAGCTTGGCCCTCGTGCTGCATGCACGAGAACTGACTTAATTCCCGAAAGTAATAATGACAAAGATGGTATGCTTTGTGATGAGTATTTTGTTTTTGCTTATATAGAGAATGAAAAGAAGAAAACATAAACTTTCATTGTTAGCAAGGCTTAGCTTCATTTTTTACTTGTTGATTAGGTCAATGCCCTGGATCACCGAAATTATCTACATTTCCAAGTCTTCCTGACATGTCTCCGAAGAAAGTGTCAAAGAATGTCTATGTCTCCCCATTGCGCTCATCCAAGGTTCTCATTAGTTCTCTTACAAAGTATTTATATTGAGTTTAATTCTTTTGGTCCTGGAAGAATAAGTATATAAGAGCCAGGGCATTTTGTTCTCTTTATTGGTGTTTTCCATGGATATAGGTCAAGATTTCTCTAGAGGGCTTTAACATAAATCTGTACTATGGAATCTGAATCTATTACAGTTTCAGTTATATCCTTTTGCAAGGTTCTGCTAACCAAGATTCACACCGTATCTTATCCAACATAAATTTCTGAGCTGTCTTTGACATTGCCAAATAGTTTTAGTTCACTAAACACTGACTCTCACGTATCTGATTTTCACAATTTCCACTGTAGATGGACGCTCTAATTTCAAACAGCTCTAAGAGCTACTATGCTTGTGTGGGGGAAAGCACTCATGCTTTTCAAAGCCCTTCCAAAGATCTGACTGCCATAAATGATCGTTTGAATAGGTATAGATTTGATTCACTGACTTCAGTAAGACTTATGCTATATGTGATTGTGCTGATTGTGCACCTCTTAATCTTCACAGGAATGTTAGGGGAGCACTGAAATTTGATACTGATGCTGGCCTGGTAAGCGACTCTCTTGTGTCAAACAGTCTATACATTCAGAATGGAAACGGTGCCACTACCTCATCTGCAGCGCCTTTGAAAACAGAACAGCCTGATTCTTAGTTAAGCGATTGTACACGAATGATGTATATTCTAGACTCCTTACACTTTTTTTTTTCTTTTTTACTTAAAAGCCAGACCTGAAGTGAAAGAGCTCTATGTTTTTAGCATAGCTGCCATCACTTTCAGAAGCTTGTGTATTATCATTTTTTGTTAATAGTAGTTTTATGTTATCGGTTGCCTTTGTTTTTCTGAAGTGTAAATTACCATGTTTTTAATAAAATGTGTCATCTAACAAGAAACGGAGGAAGTATATACTTGTATATAAACTGCAAAAAGAGAGGATATAAAAACATCCTGTTGCCTTTAATTAATGAAACCTACAAAACATGCTCTTGTAGCATGTAAAGTTGTATTGACAGTTCATGTTCAACCTTAATATTGAAAATAAAATTTGATGGTCAAGAGTGGTTTTTGTTCTGTCAGTCAGGGGGTTGGCAAAGATTTTCGGGGCCATGTGCAATTTTATAAAGTTGGGCCTTTTTCTATGAATAAATATAAAAGATGAAGATAATAAACAAATAGTTTCAACATACGTAGTATGTGAAAATTCGGATTAATTGTTTTCAATTTTCATATACAAATTGATATAATACTTTTGATCACAAATTATTAACAAACAAAAGTAAAATTATAATCTATATACTTCAAAAAAATTCAAAAAAGTATCAAAATACAAGGGAAACAAATATTAGTATAAAGATAACACCAAAATAATTGCAAAGTGTTGAAAAGTCTCTTAATAAATTTGGGAATTGTGCTTTGAAAAAAAAAAAACACAGAACAAACAAAAAGGGTGAGAAATTAAAGAGGAAGAAAGAGAAGCAAAAAAAATTGAAAGAGATTAGGGGTACAAGGCTGTTAATCCTAAGATTCGAACCTAGAACCATTTGTTTCATCCAAAAACATTTTACCGCTACACCAAGGATAATTTCCAACTAAATTTATGTACTTAATCTGCATATATAAAGTTTATTTCGGGGGCCCAAACTTTTGAGAGCCCTGTGCAATCGCGCTGGGCACCGCATCTTCACCGCCCTGGTCATAGTTCTCCCTTATGCCAGCATCCTCAATAATTAAATGCCAATTTTCTCCTTTGATGAAAAGAACTTGCTAAAGCCACGCGACTGCTTCTCAGGGGTTGGAGTGGAAGAAGTAGAAGATCCGGACTTTGTAAGTCTGAACCTGGCATTTTTCGAAACAGGCAATTTCAAGTTATTTCCTTCGGTGTCTGATGTACTAATTGGTGCATTGTAGAGGACTAAAGGTGTACTATAACCTAGCCTTTGCAGATTATTGGACGTGATAGTTTAGTCAATGTTCTTGAGAGATACTTATTTGCTAGAGTTAGTTATGATGATGTGTATTGACATCAGGCCTAGTAAATGGGTCGTTCGGGTTGGGTATGGGTCGGGTCAACAGATATTCGGGTCGGGTTGTTTCGGGTTTCAGGCCGAGTTTAGGTCAATACTTCGGAACACCTCTGGGTCGGGTCAATTTTCGGGTCCATAAATCGGGTCAAGATCGGGTCGGGTCAAAATCGGGCCAGGACATTTCTTGTCGATACTTTGAGTCAAGCTTTAATAGTACATTTATTTTCTTTATACGAAATAATTATTATTGCTTTTATAGAAAATCTAGTTGTTAGTGTTAATATCATTGTTATGTTATTGTTTACAAGAATACTATAACATTTATTATTAATACTGTAACATTATTATTATTATTATTATTATTATTATTGTTATTATTGTCGTTATTGTTATCATTGTTATTATTATTATTATTGTTATTACTACTAATACTACTGTTTCGGGGTTTTCTGATGTCCTGCGGGAGAGTTACAATTTCGAGACTGGAACCGGACGCCTGTACCTGCAAAACAAACGGATGCTCCGGATGATTGGAGATCCGCCTCCAACGGTCAAGTTAGTACTTGATTAAAGAGTAATTAATGCGGAAATGTAATTTAGTCTCTCTAGGTGAGAGTGTTAAATGTGCGTAAAAAATCCCCCTTAATGAGGATTAATGGGCATATTTATATTCCTTGGGATGCGTGCTAATACTAGGTTTAGGTTAAACCTAAGGCTGACTGGGCTTCCCAAAGATTGGGCCTTGTTGGCTGATTTATCCTTTTGGTATGAATGGACACGTGTCGTGTCGCAATTGGTCCACGGAGGATGAATATATGGTTGACACGTGGCAGGCTCCTATTGGCCCATGTGGCGGACACATGGCGGTACCTGACTGGTCCACTTGTCAGATGGTGATTGGTGGATAAAAATCCCCTAATCATTTGCCCCTCACAGGTGGCATGTGACTGGTCACGTGTGACCTGTGACAGGTGTCACACCGTAACAGGCGACGACCTGCTACAGGTGTCACTCGGTGAAAGGCTGAGAGGTTCTCCCGCCCAAATTTTGAATTTGGGAGTGACCCTTCGCCTTCTCATTTTTGCCTATGTAAGGGTGTGTTGACTTCAGTCATTTTCACACTTGAGAACTTTTGAAGAGAGCATTCGGACCCCTGAACTTGCTCTGACATTCCGGACTCTTTCTGCCTACCGCCTGCTCTGACAAGCCGGCTGCTCATAATTTTTCAGAACTTCGTCAATTTCACTCGTTCAGGTAACCGTCGGTTCTCTCACTCTTTTAACTTTTCTTTATTTAGTCTTCTTTTTGAAATGGCACCACGGAAGCACACGACACGACCTAGGTTAGTGATCAGCCGGTCACCGGGGACGGCTGAATCTAGGACTAGGAGTGCCGCCTGCCCTTTTCCGAACCAATCTTTTCCCTTTATACAAAGTCCGACTGTCTCTGTGTCTATGCAGAACATAATGGCTAGAACAAAAAGAACTGCTAGGATCACAAACTCAGACGACTCCTCCTACCAGGTGCCGATTAGTGAGGCATCTGACCAGGCGCCAGATGCTGAAGTAAACCAAGGCGGCTTGACCGCCGACAACTTTGAGGGAGGGGTCAAGGTGGTCCCTTCCCATTTTACAGTTGACATGTCTAACTTTTCTCCCGCTCCTATCGAAGGAAAGGAGGCGGGCCCCTCTGGGAGAGGAGAGGAGTCGTCCTCTTCGGATTCATCAGAGGACGAGTCCGAGTCTAGTTCTTCTGGTCATACTTCTCTAGACACAGAAGAGAAAAACAACCGCCTACAAGAGGCGAGGCTTTCTCACGCAGTTGAGAAGGGGGACAATTGGGCGGAGCCGTCCGCCTCTTACAGAGAGCAAAATACCCCTTACTACTGCACTGTCCCCAAAGGCCGGATCAAGGCCATGCAAGAGAAAGTGGGGAGCTTTATAGCGAACCACACAATGGGCCCCGACTTTTTAGTTTTTGTGCCGGATCCAGAAGACACAGTCGTTTGGTCGGCTGGTACTAGTTATGATAGCGCCTACGAGGCGGCCATCAGGGCTGGTCTACGCTTCCCATTACATCCGGCTGTTCAGCGGATCTTGGATGGGTATGAGTTGGGGTTATGGCAATTAGCCCCAAACTCCTGGTTCAACGTTCTCGGCTATGTGGTCGGGTGCGAACTGCACGGGGTGGAGCCAATCTTCGAGGCTTTCGCCCACATGAATTACCTCAGCCGGACCCCTAAGGCAGGCGGTACCGGCTAGTATCAATTGACGAGCCACAGAGGCTACCTCATGACAAGAGGTAAAGAAAATAAGTGGAAGGATTGGCGAAGCACTTTCCTTATCATTGAAAGTTCAAACCCAGAGCTGAACAAGCGCTTCAACAGGTGGAACAGGGATCCGCCTCTTCTTGCAGGCGACCGTAGCATGCCGCCTGTTCCTCCAAAGGCTAAGAGAGAGATTCTGGACAAAGGACTCTTCAAAGTAGATTCGAGGGTCGACTCTACTACAAGGGTGCGAGAGCAAGTACCCCTGCACTGCGTCTCGAGCTTCAAATTGCTCTATGACGAGTACTTTTTGGCCGCCTGTGGCCTCAGCAGTCGGTGTTCAAGAGGTAGCCGGCCTGTCGAATACTCTCTTTTGCCATGCATTACTTGTTATAACTTTTATTAACTTTGGTTTTTGTCCTTGCAGTGGACGCCATGAGCAAGATCACCGCTTCCAAGACTGCGGCGGCTATGTTGCGAGCCTCTATCTTGCAACAATCTTCAACCGACTCTCCCAACAAGGAGGCGCCTTTGGTAAGTTCCAAGCCTTTCACACACTCCTTTTTGAAGTTGGGTTTACGTAGAGACTGACCGCGTGTTTTGTTTTTTTTTTTAAACGAGCACTCCTAGAACTTCTTCTTCCCAACAGCCGGACTCCAAGGCCCGGAGAACAACTGTTGCGAGCTATCCTGGCACGGCCAGGAAAAATGCGGCGACTGAGAAACAGTCGGCCACCCCCTCTCAAACTCCAATTAGGCCGCCTAGGAGTATGGACCTGTCCTTGTGAATTCATACTTGCTTCCCTTTTACTAGGTCTAACATGCTTGTTTATGCTTGATGCAGCCGGCCCTCAGGAACCGGACCTGATCGAGGTGGCCAAGTCTATGATCAAAGCCGTACCTCCGGTTGAGAGAGAGGCGGTCAGGGGTGTCGACACCCTTGACCTGGACGGAATCGCAGGGGTCCTAGCTGAGGTATACTTAGTATACTCTTGTCGTTTAAACTCCAGGACACCTGTTTTTTGTTTGAAAACTGACGCCTGTTTCCTTTTGATCAGGCTCTGCTCCGAGTGAACGGCCTTCGCAAGCCGCTTGATAGGAAGACCAAAGAGGTAAAGGATGCTAATGCTATGGCCGCCTCTGACTGTGATAAGGCAATGTTTCAAATTGCCCAAAATGAGATTTTAACAACTGATATTCTTTATTATCAGGCGCAGGCTACCTCTGCTATCCGGACTCAGTTGGAGGCGGCCCAGAAGAGAAATAATGAGCTGGAGGCGACCATCAACAATTTCAAGGCCGAGCTGAGACCTCTTCGCCAAAAAATGACCACATACGACGCCTTGGAGAAATCCTTGGAGCGCGTTAAAGAGCGCTTGGCGACTCAACAGAAGAGTCTCACTGCGGAGCTCTCGGCAAAGGCCGAGCAGGAAAAGAAAGACTTGGTCAAAGAGATGATGGAAGACTCGACTCAAATTCAGCGCCTGACCTGGGGCCGCCTCTTCCCCAATGTCGACTTTGCCTCATGGGAAAAACCGTACCGCCAGTGTTCCGACAG